GGTAAGACGAACCGAAAACACTCCCGATCCTTTAAAAGGAGCGTTACCGAGTCTCTTATTGTGCTGCACTTTATTGAGAGGGGCCAATCCATGGAGGGTTTGAAATGCAGTGGTGCTGCCTTGCACTGAGTCACAGAGGGGAACAGATAACCATTTACTGAAATTAGAAGTGTAATGGATTCACAGAGTTACAAATTTCTCTCCTAATGGGCTGAATGAGGAATTGCCTCTTTACCAATTCCAATGATGTTTTTTTTTTTTTTTTTTATCCCTCTTGGTTTCTTTTGCCTCAACCCCCCACCTTTCCCGTAATAGAGCTAGTAGTGTGGATTTAAATGTATTATTTATTTATTTGTATGACCTGAAGAGTGAATGAATCTACTCATGTGTTGATTTAATTTCACTGTGTTGATTCTGGTGAGGCGGCTGCAAAATAGTGTTTTTGTTGTTGGTTAATCTGACAGTCATTTTGTCTCCTAAAGCAGCTCACGTTCTGGTTTGTAAGATGGCAGAAGGCAGTTAAAAAGGCCAATATATCAGCATCAAAGTGACATACTTAAAAAGAGTAAATCTTAGTATTTAAGAAGTTGAAAAAGGGTTATTTTTCTTTCTTTGACCCCCGAAAAGTTCTCTTGGTTGAACAGGCTCAGCTCTGATGCAGCTACATCTCTTTTTTTAATATGAAAATGTACTTTATTACTTATAATATTGGTTTTGAACTCTAGAATAGACCAAAATCTTTAAATTTGTACTTTCCCGCCCCCCTAGTTTTCAGATATATTAAAGGATTAAATTCCTGCAGATGTTTTGAACATGTTCTCCACTGCTGAAGGCCAATACTTTTTTATTTTAGATAACTTTATTGTCATTCAATGCATTAAAAAACAGTGCACTAGAATGAAATCTTGTTGCATAATGCTCTCAGCGACAGAAAAAATACAATCGTCAGCCATAAAAGTGCTTTCAAGTGCATACAATAAATATATTTAGCAGTACAGGCAGTGGTTTACAGGTGCTATATGTAAGTATTTTATTTTACAAATTCATTCACTGCTAACCAGTTCTGGCCCATCATGTTTCACTGACCAGGTCGCTGTTGTGGTGCCATTAAGATGTGAGACAAGATGGGCCTGAGCTAGCTGCTTAGCAATGCACAAGCTTTCAAAATAAAAGTACAACAAATGACACCTTTAAACTCAGAAATACTCTGACACAAAGCACCGTCCTGCGTAAACCGCCAGATACACTGGATTAGGTATGATATAGTTGGGTTTGGGGGTGGCTACAGTTCAACAATGTCCCAGGACGAAGTGGGTATGCAGAACATGCAATCCACTATAAAGTACAAAAAACTGTGCATGGACAATAAAGTCGTGTGCAAGCTTTTGGTTTCAGTTTTTGACATGTTAGCTGATGTTATCAACACCTCTAAGTTGCTGTGACAACACCGCTCACTACACATCAGAGGTGTTTTCTTCACCCTGCTGTCGTACCCAGTGGAGCACACAGCACACACATGGGACAGGGCTGCTGTTGTTTTTTTATGATTTTGTTGTTGTTGTTTATGTTGTTTTTCTGCTTATGAAACGAGTCCCATATGATACACGAATATGGGTGCCGTGAAGCTGACACAAAAACGGGTCAATACGTTGGGGATGACGGCGGAAGAGAAAATTGCTCGGTACTTTATTAAAGATGACATTTGTAATATGAGTTCTGGGCTTCGTGTGAGGAGACGTCACCAAAATATATGATTTGGCCACTTCACCAGAAGAAAGTCTCGATGAGCGGTGCTGTAAAAGGTCAGCTTTCAGCGGCAGTAAAACCATTTGGGTCTGGCTCTGGAGACATATGGATGATGTGACCCTAGTCTCAATGGAAAATCCATTTTGAGCAGTTCGTTTTTTTTTTTTTTCTTCTGTCGTGATCTTAGAGAGAGACTTTTGTGTTGTGTCACTGTTACTTTTGACCAAACTCAGCAGAGAAAAAGGTTTATGGCTGTCGCATGCACACATTCCTACAGTTTTGTTTCCATAGAAACACTGAGTCCTGGGCAGGCGTGTGTTTTAGAGTTACATAAGGCTTAACCAGTAATACGACATACAATCTGATATGGGTATTCTCATCTGACTGGATTCCTATTTTTAGGAATAATACATAGTAACTGTAGAAAATGTTAAAATGAGGCGTTATTTTTTTTCACGCTGCTGCTATTTTTGGGCTGTTTAACTGTACGCTGCCATGTGATCCACAGTCTTCTGTCTATAAGGCGCACAGTGTATGAATCTATCTAACATAATGCTGAAATTTGCATCAGAAGCCTGAACTGTCTGGTGGCCTCACTGAGAGTCGAGGTGCACAGTTCATTATCATTGCTGTGTCTGTTATGCTGCGTGCCATATGAATGTGGGCGTTGCAGAACAGCAGGTCTTTAGCAACACAATTGTATATGTGATGCAACCGTGTCTATAATTATGCAATAGCTCAGGCATCAGCTCCTGAATAATTCATGGAAATTAAATGTATATTAATGACCGTGATTAAGTCGAGTGCCATTGTTAGTTTTTGAAGAATGGTACAGCTGATTAGACCATCCACATCTGAGAGATTTCTTTGTTTTGCGAGCTCGAGAGGAAGAGGAGGAGGAAGAGGAGGAGGAGGGGGAACAGGTTGAACGAGGATTCAAGCCCCAGGCCTGCAGGGTTCAGGGGTTTCCAGAGAAAGAGGTCTTACAGCACCTCCTACACCATCTGCAGGACCAATAGAGCATTATTAATAGATAAGATGAAGCTATTTGGGTCTTGTATATCACTGTTGCAACCCTTCGCCTCAGGCACAATTTTATCCGCTTGTTCCAGCCTTTCATTCTTATGCACCAGTAAAGTTGGTATTGATGTTTCAGCCCCTGTATGTATATGGTATGAATGTCCAGTTAGCGCTGCAGCATCGAGCGCACTGTTCGATAGAGCAGGTGCACATGACTTGTAGTAGTGATTAAGTAGCTGCTCCTAAACAGAACGCATTTCACAGCACGCTTTTCTCAGAATCACTATCGGCACGCCTGTTGATGGTGACTGTGTTTTGGCCGGGGGGCGGGTTTTTGCAGGCTCACTATGCAATAAGATTTCCGTTCACGCTTAACTCTCAGTCGCTTTGGCCCTAAAGTTCTCATTAGCTTTGCCCGCTTTATTCGCCGCACACTTCCATATGCCCGACGGCTCTGGGACTTTGAAGCAATAGTGCAGAAGTAATACTTTGAATACCCTAAACGCACTTGATGTTCAGTCTCTCGCACATCTGTGATTGTGTACCGAGCGGTTATCAGTGAATTATTTTATGACCTTGGGAATTGGGCGGAATCACAGATGCCTCTAGTTTGGATGATGACATCCTGGCAATCAGCAGCAGTGTCTCGCTGTGAATGAGCGCTTCCCTTGTTTTGGACCCAAATGTCGCTGCTAGGACAATATTAAGCTGGTAATTAAAACAAGTGATAATAACCGACTGCAGTCACTGATTTCCTAATGGATTTCAACAAGTTCTAACACGAGTGTCGCAGCGAAAACCCTCCACGTTCAAACGGAGGGGTTTCCGTACCGCTGTAACCAATTTAGTGCTTTGTTGCAGGAGTAAACCTAATTATAGATTTTTTTTTTTTTTATGCTCACTTTCAGTAAGAAATGAAAATTGTTTTTTCAGCAGAACTTCAACTACGCTGGGACGGGTCGGGCTTTCGCTGCGAGCAGCCGAGTGTGATATAACGCACAGACAGCCACGATAGCAGCTGCTGAATAATAGTGATGAGTAATCACTAATAAGCATCCAATAACTTTGCATGAAAAAGAATGTTTAATGTTGTTTAATTCAAACCTCATGATTCCGCTAATTGCATTAATTTGCGTCTGAGGATGCGAAGGGAGTTTTAAAGCAGGGATTTAACTCCCCATTGAGGGCACATTTATTCCAAATGTATCACAGTCTGCCGTCATTTGCTGAATTTGCAAAGCGTGATTGTGAGCACACACACACACACAAAACCTGAAAACCTGGCACGTGCATAACAGGCTGCTTTCATTTTTAATCTCCAGTTGATCACTTCTACCCAAATTGTCACACTGGTTTTGCCTTAACAATGCTAGGAAACAGATGCTTCATGTACATTATTTTGGGGGTGTTTAATTGGATTCCCTCAATTGCATCAGAGAACGAGACGTTTCAGTGTAAGCTCCCGAAGCCTTTTCCCCTGCAGCCACTGTTGCTGTGAGTTTGCCTCTCCAGCTATGTTGATTATCTTAATCCTCTATCTTTTGTAGCTACGAGCTAAGCTTAAGGTGTGGACCCAACTGTTAAGTAGCGTAAGAGGTGACGTGAGGCGGGTCTGTTTTTGGACTGGAAGCAAGTATTCTTCCCGGTGATGATTTAATTTCCCTCCATTGACTTTTATGAGCTGCTATCTTTGTAGCGTATAGGTCAACCTTAATCATTTTTATACTCCAATAAACGCGACAGGAAAAACGAAACACTGTGAAAATGATTCTGATATCAAATTTACTGAATGAATATAGAACAATATTCTGAGTTTCTTATGAATTGACAATGAATTGTGGCCTTTATGATCAAAATGTTTCATCATTAACTCAGCTATACTTTTAATTATTCGTCAAGTTAGGCTGCAGATGGCTCACAAACATCACGTTTTTAGAAAGCAAAAATCAATTGGACTTTTTATTTAGGCAGCTGGCTCTGTAACACAGTAGATGCTCATCCACTGAGGCAGTGTTGTTTGCAATATTGTTTACTTTGTCGTCTAAAAATGGCAAGAATCCTTGTGAATAGCATATTATTGATTCTCACGGAAGAGCGCCAGGCTCATAATTAAATCATGGCGCTGTTGGTTAATAGTTGGTTAACCTTTAAACACTAGTCTGTACTCCGAAGCCAGTGACGTTATTTTGTCATCGTCTGTGAAGCTCAAACTCACTTGTGCCTCTCCTCGACAGGGATGACCTGCCAAGCGAGGACGTCATACACCGAGGACGAGGTTCTGTGGGGACACCGCTTCTTCCCGGTCATCTCCTTGGAGGAGGGTTTCTTTAAGGTGGACTACTCTCAGTTTCATGCCACGTTCGAGGTGCCCACTCCTCCGTACAGCGTGAAGGAGCAGGAGGAGGCCCTGCTCCTCTCCTCGCCCCTCATGGCGCCGTCTCTCTGCAACAGCGGGGAGAAGAACAGCTCTCTGGACTGCCTGGAGACCCTGGAGGACAATGACAGCACCACCAAGCTGCCGACCAAGCTCCAGAAGATCACGGGGCGGGACGGACTGCCCAAGAAGCTGCTGAGGATGAGCTCCACCACCTCAGAGATGACTTACAGCTTTGGAGACCTGCCCATGAAGTTGCAGCGAATCAGCTCCGTCCCTGGTGTCTCTGATGATAAGCAGGCTGGTAAGGCGGCCAAGATCAGCACAGAGCCCATCAGTAAGTCGGTGGCGGACTTGCCTCCCAAGCTGCAGCGGCTGGCTGGGGGAGGAGGGGGCAGGATGGACGGACACCTGCCGCCTAAACTTAGAAAGATGAATTCAGATCGCTTTACATAAAGCAGGCAACATATTTTAACTTATGCCATCTACTTTTATTTCCCTACCTGAAGTCCTTGTACAATTCCTAATTTATTAATGGACAATATTCTTATATTAAAAGAAATGTAGAATATGTGCACAAATACCTTATATAAAGTAGGGTGATGGAATTAAGCACATTTGTCCCTGGATGTAAGTGTACATGCTATGATGAAAGACCTCTGACTCTTTTATTTTATTTTTTAATTTCTACTTTTCCTTTTTTTTTTTTTTTTAGGATGATGTACAATTAGCACAATCTGGCATGTAAGAAACAGCGCATGTAGAACAGAATCTCAATAATTTCTGGCATGACATTTATTGATATATTATTTTACAAAAAAAAGAATTTCATTAGTGAATTTACAGACAGTGGAAAAATTGCACAAAGCCATATGATTTACAACATGGAAAACCGACATTACATGGTTCTAATTTGTGGTGACGACGGGCACATAACATTTGTTTTGAGTTGATTGCTTTTGTTGTTTAATGTAAAATCGTGGCAATGTTCTGTTGATTGCATGCTCCTCTTATTGACTTAGCTATACAAAGGTAATAGACAAAGATGTTTAGCCTTAACTATATTACCTTGTTTCCATTTCCATGTTTGTTCACAACTGTATTTTTGGTATTTCATATATAGACTATTTTACCATGTGCAATTTTATGACTTTATTAGGTGATCAAATACAGAATATGTTGCTAGATGATGCATTTAAAACAAACAAAAAAAATGCATCGTTAGCATCATATGACCTATCTGAACCGGGCACAATGCTATGCGACTTTCACTTGCTTATTAAAGTAACACTTAAGTTGAAAGATTCAACACTTGTACCTTGATAAGCACAAAACAATCATTATATAATACCCTGTGATATTAGGAAGCATTTATGGGCATTTTTTGTCTTAAATGAACTGCTTAGAGCAGTAGTTTAGTACTGTGCAATCATTTTGTTTCATTATATAACAAAATCCGCAGTAGGCCTTCGTGGTCGTAGAAGACACTCCATTAGAACTTCAACTTAGGTGTTACTGGTTAGATTTGGTGGGCCTGTAAGAAAATCATAACCTTTGTTTTAAGGGCCCATAATATCCCCCCTCCTCTGTGATGAAAGCAATAATATTATAATGACTATAATCTTTATATAGCCACAGGGTCTACCACAGCCCCATACTCGTTCTGTTTACTGAATCCATGCCATGAAATCTGGTTTTCTCTAAATGCATCTAAGACATTGTATGATACCCAATTTCTTCAGGAATAAAGATCTAACGTAACTGTTTAGCATCTTCCTACTTTGACTAGATGGAACGCATGCTTTAGCCGTTCAGTGAATAAATTACTGCCAGTGTGCGTATTACAGAGGGCGGTCGAAAGGATGAAAGGCAAACGACGCTCTCTCCTCGCTGTAAAGAGGCGACCTGTGCGGCCGTAGCGTCTAAACCTCATCCTTAAATTTTTTGAATCTCGCCGGTGTTTAGAGTTTTGACATTTTGGGACATTTACTGCTTTTCTTGCAGAGCGTGAGATGAGAAGATTCCACTCTCACACCTTGTTCTGTCCAAAAGATATAAAAAAATCAACCAGAGCATCTAGTTAATATTATGTCTTGATTGTTTAGGCTGTCTGTTTACTCGTTTGTTTTCATTTTTAAAACGTAAGAACATAAAAACGTTCATATAAAAGGCAAATTGCTGTTTTTACTTCCCTTGGACGGAACCAGGCCAGCGTTTTCCAATTTCCCCAGTATCTCCACTAAGCTAACCAGCTGTTGGCTGTAGCTTTATGTTTGCTGTGCAGATACAGTCTTATCAGTCTTCTCCCAAAGCTAAAATCTATACAATGCCTTTTTTTTTTTTTTTTTTTTGGAAAGCAACACTGCCTCTATGAACTGGACAATTCACACAACAACAAATGAATGTATGTTTTCGACCAGCAGAAGTCGACTGTTAAAAATAGCCATCATCCTAAATGTCTGTGCTGATCTGATGCTGAACATGTGCCATAGCTGATAAATGAACCACAACCCCTGTCACGTGTCTCCAGGGAGGAGAGGCAGATTATTTCTGAGATTTTTTTTCAGTGGAACATTCTGCAGACCTTATTTTTATTTATTTAAAAAGAAAACATGAACGATAAAACATTCACCACAGTATTTTTTTTTGTACATTTCACTTGTCTTAGTGACATAACATGCAGGCCTGCAAACTCATATAATCTGTGTCTAAATCTGGACTTAAACTGAGTCAGATAAAGGATCCCAGAGCGACACGGAGCCAGTGTCACTGTGAGAAGTCTTTTTCCTCTGGCGCTCTCATTGTTTTGATCGTACTCTGTGTAATCACTGCTGCTGCTCATATTCCACCGTGCACCCTTTGTTGCTGTTAAGCACGCTGTGTGTAATAACTGTATTTCAAGCGATACCTTAAAGGACTTGAGAAGATGAAGTCGTCGCCATTATCGTAGGTATCACAGGCAGTTGAGTTAATTCTGTCCTTATCCCGAGATAACCCTGTCTTGTGAATCTCTTCGGCAAACCCATGGGATGAATCAGAATATCAAACTGCTGATGGCATTATCCTCTGACTCCTCGGAGACGGGGTGCAAAATCCCTTAAGGCGAACTCAAATCAGCACTTGTTCTGCCAGAAAACAATCACCCTTTATCACCGAGGAGATCTTTGCTCTGGATGTCACTTTGGTTTTTTGGATTTTTTTTGTTTTTTTTCCAGTGATGGGGTTGTCCTTCGTCATTGCTTCTCCACATAAATAGCATGTAAACGCTAAAATAATTGACACGAGCAGATTTGGAAGATGTGGGAGGACTGTAGTAGGAAGCAGCAAAAGGGTTATTCAGAGTTGAAAATCTTGTTAGCATTCCAGAAAAAAAAAAGGAGCAATATTCTGATAATCTCCATCATGGTTTCTTGACAAATAATGCTTGACACAAAGTCAACCTGTGGTAAAGAAAACAGCTGGCGCTACCTGACAATTACCGCCAACAAATGAAACACAAATGTGCGCTGAACCGTGAGCATTTTCTGTTTCCCTCCACAGTTTCTACCGAATCCAAATGCTTCCCCTAATTAGTCGAATCTATTTTCTTCTTGAGCAACTGTTTCCCCAAGTTATAAATTTGCAAATATAACTGCTATGTTGTTAAAAAAAACAAACAAAAACATGACGAGTGAAACTTGATTGAACATTCAAAGTTAAATATGGCTCGCTGACTGGCTGGTCGGACGCTTCTCTCGGCTCTTGCGCCACGTCATCGTGTGCCAGCGTCAAGATGGGATGATATATGACACATCACATATGAAGAATGGTGCAACATAAGACTGAACCGTTGGTGGCTTTGCACTGCGTGACACACTGCAGAACCAGACAGATGTCCTCACAGCCTTATGGCGGTTTCCTGTGCGTCCCTTTAGCATAACGTGCTTGGTCTATATCAGTGTAACGTACTTCATCATTTGATTCTACAGATGAAAAACCATGCCTTCCTCCATGTGTAGATTGCGGCATTAAAAAAAAACAGACTTATTTCAGGTACACATGATGAAAACAAAAAAACCCTAAATATGAGCCAGTACAGTTGTGAGTCAGGTGAGTGTGCTGCCTGGTTTGGCTGAAATGTTGTTTCATGTTTTTGTTATTTTTAATCATTCAACTCATCCAGTCATAGCCTAAGAATTCTCCACATGTGGAAGCTGCAGATGGAGGTGTAGTCAAAGTAATAATCTGTATATAAAGAATGATGGGGCTCAGTGGTTAGCAACGTTGCCTCACAGCTAGAAAGTCGCCGGTTTGTGTCCCGGTGAGGACACCCGGGATCTTTCTGCGTGGAGTCTCCATGTTCTGGGTTCTCTCCGGGTTCTCCGGCTTCCTCACCCAGTCCAAAAACATGTTGAGGTTAATTGGTGATTCTAAATTGTCCGTAGGTGTGAATGTGAGTGTGCTTGGTTGTCTCTCTCTAAGTGTAGCCCTGTGATAGACTGGTGACCTGTCCAGGGTGTCAGCTGGGATAGACTCCAACCCCCCGCGACCCTAGTGAGGATTAAGCGGTGTATAGATAATGGATGGATGGATGGATAAAGAATGAGGAGTGTGTTTTAACATCTTCACAATCTAGTGGCTCTGCTTTATTGATTTATGGGAAGGTTTTATATTTACCAAACATGTTGGTTAGTTGTCATCGTAAAACCTCCCTTTAAAAAAAAAAAATCCCTAAAAGTCAACAATAAAGCATAGCTCTCTGTAGTTCTTATTAAGTTTGCATCCAAAGCAGCCAAGGTGATATAAAAATCAAACCATCTGATGTCATATATTTCTATATCATATTAGACAGTGTAACATGTTGGTAGTTCTCACTATCCTACAATGTAAATACAGTATAACACTGTGTATTTTCTATTTCTCTCTTATGTTATTGGTTGCTTCAGCTGCAGACTTTCTGCTTTTTGCATGCAGCAAAAACGACTTCTTATGATGCACTGGTTGCCAGACTTGTTACACTTCGGCGTATATGCATGAAGTGACAGAGGTGGTTGTGTAAAGAAAGAAAAAAAGACAACTAAAGAGAGAATACATTCAAGCCCTTCTTGCTTTCTCTGCTCTATGCACCGGGCCATTTCATGAAGCGGTCTTGCATGTCACACTGTCACTTTCAACAAATTTACAGCAATTTCTGGACCTACCCGCCTCAGTTGCAACGCTGGAAAGGTGTGGAGAGGAGCTTAAGTAGCCCCTCTGTTATCATAGCCTTTAGTTTTGCTTGATGTCGTGTACTATTAGATGCATGGCCTCTTTACGTTGTGTTAGAAGGTTCTGGTTTTAAAACAGATCTGCTGGAAATGTTCTCAGGTCAGACAGACAGATGCCTTTCCAAGCTACACATCATCAAATCCGCAGGTAGCAGTTGTCATTTTAACCGACAAAATCAACAGATGTCAGATAAAACCGACAGCCTCCAT